GTTCTTCTTGCTTCTTGTATATCAATTTTCAGCTCCTTCTTCACGTTTGGGAAGTTCTCTTCAATTATTTCCTTGAATATTTTCTCTGTTCCTACATCTCTCTCCTCTCCTTCTGGGATTCCTATAACTCTTATATTTCCTTTCCTCATGGAGTCAGATAGTTCCCAAAGTCTTTCTTCGGTCTTTTTCCTTCATACTTCTCTTTCCTTTTCTGTTTTGGTTCTTTTTATTTCTGTTTCTTCATGAGTACTTATTCATTCTTCCATTTCATCTATTCTGCTTTCATTGCTTTTCCCAGAATTCTTTAGTGCCTCCATTAATTCTTTGATCTCCTGTATTTCTTTTACTTCCTACTTCAGGGACTCAGTTTCATTCTTCTGAGCGTTGTTTTCCTTAATGACTTCCATCAGTTTTTTCATCACAGCAATTTTAAGTTTTTTTTCTGGAAGGCTCAGAGTTCTTCCAAGTCACCGTAGTTGCAAGCTGGTGGGTGTTTTTTTTGTTTTTTTTTTTTTTGTGGTGTGTCTTTTTTCTGAAGCGATGCTACTTTGCTTGTAGTTTTTCTTTTCCCTGTTGCCTGTCTTCTAATTTGCCTTATGCATTGGGACACTGTGCCGCTGGTACTGGCTGGCATCTTTTTGGTGTGTTCTTTCGGGAGTTTCAGAAACTGGCAATCCAAACAAGTCAAAAACTGTTATGCCAGAAGTCTAGTGAGGCAGTGGTACTTTGAGTATGTTAATGGTCACTGTCACAGAATCTCTCCTCCTTCTGTGTTTAGTTACAAATGTGTGTCTTGAAGTCCCACAGACTTCCCTGGAGGTGGGGCAGTTGGATTGCACTCTGGGTTCCAAATCTCTGGATCCTCCTCTGGACTCCAACTTCCTGCCAGGTGGAACTGGGCTTGTGGGGGCCTTCAGCTCACCTCTGACTGCACAGGGAACCTTCCCCCTCTGGCTCCACAGGGAGCCTTCTGCCAAATTCAAGCAGTCTTTATTGAAGAAAGGTCCCTGTTCTAAAATGGCACTTTGGAGACAGGCACACTCTTCCACATGCCTGGTCTGCCCTGGCCGTGGGTGCCCGCTCCCCCTCTAGGCTGGGACTGCTGGTCAGAAGGGGCCTGGCTTGGGCAAACTTCCCAGCTTACCTCTGACTCCTCCGGGAGCCTTCTGCCAGTTTCAAGCAGTCTTTACTGAAGAAAGGTCCCTATTCTAAAATGGCAATTCAGATACAGGCACATTCTTCCGCATGCCCGGTCTGCCCCAGCCCTGGGTGCCCACTCCCCCTCTGGGGTCGGACTGCTGGCCAGAAGGGGCCTGGCCTGGGCGAACTTCCCAGCTCACCTCTGGCTCCTCCGGGAGCCTTCTGCCGGTTTCAAGCAGTCTTTATTGAAGAACGGTCCCTATTCTAAAATGGCGTTTCGGAGACAGGCATACTCTTCTGCGCGCCCGGTCTGCCCCGGCCGTGGGTGCCTGCTCCCCCACTGGGATCCGACTGCTGGTCAGAAGGGGTCTGGCTTGGGAGAACTTCCCAGCTTACCTCTGACTTCTGGGAGCCTTCTGCCGGTTTCAAGTAGTCTTTACTGAAGAAAGGTCCCTATTCTATGGGGTGTTGGTCATTTTTTTTCTGGTCACTAGGTGGCGCCAGAGATCTCTCCTAGTGTCCTTGGGGAGCTGTTTTGTTTTTAACCCCGTGGGACAGGGGAACAGAGTGGGAGTAGTGGGGAAAGCCTCAACGGCTTTAGGGTGCTGTGTTTGCCTTGTGCCCCACCGTCGTGGGGATCCCACACCCCAAATTTCGTGCCCCGGGTCTCAGTTCCAAAGCCCTCAGGTCCTGGACACAGGCCGTAGCCCAGTTCAGTGTCTGCAGAAATGGCGACTTTTGCATCCCACTCCCATGTCCTGGCGCCTGGTTTCTGATTACTCAGTGAGGGACATTCACCTTAGTGAGGGCCCCCCCCCCACCCCCCCGCGCATCTCCCCGCAAGCCTAGGTCACAGGCATGGGGACCTGGGCAGCCTCGATCCGTGTATCCTTTTCAAGGCGCCGCTTTTCCGCACAAGCTTACCGGCTGGCCTGGGGCTGTGTGTAGTTCTCTGGGAGTCTTTGTTTTTCTCTAATGGTGCCCGGAGCCATTCACTCACCTCTGCAGCAAATCCTGCAGGATTCTCCACAGCTCCATTTCACGGGTGTGGTGGCTGAAATAGTTCCTTTCCACTCACAGTCCCGCTTGATGCATAGTTTGTTCTTGTTGGTTGTTTTAGTTTTTTTGTTTTTTCCTCCTTTCTGTTGGTCGGAGAGTGCCGACTTTGTGGGTGGGGGAGGGTAGCAGGGTTCTGAGCTTTCCTCCCTTCTAGTCCTCTTTTATGGCAACTTTCTTCTTCGGGTAGTTTGCTGGAGTCGCCCGTTTATCTTCCGTGTCCCAGTTCTCACTGGGACCTGCCGGTTTTCCTCCCTATTAACTTTTTTTTAATGGGAGATCTTACTCGCAGCATTTCCTCCTAGCCATGTTGATCCGCCCCCTTCCTTCATTTGTTTTAATTACAAAGCACTTTGAGGTTTCCACTGTCTATTTGTCCATATTGAGAGCAAAACAAGAACCCTCATTGCTGGATGTTCATTATACTGAGGTGTATTGGGGTGCCTGGTACTGGAGCAGATGATGTATTAGACATTTAGGATCCCAAAGAATTCATCAAACTATTTTTTTTTCAAATATAGAAGGATGACATCACAAAATATACAATACTCTTTTTCCTAACCAATTCTTTATATGCTTGACACATTTTTTTCATTCACTAAAGACTATCTTTTCCTCCTTTATGTTTATTTACATTTTCCCTTTGCCACATAAACATTGCTTTGAAGGTCTTGGAAGTTTGTTGTAGTTTATTTTGAGAGGCAGCAACTTGGTCAGAATCATGCCAAAAAAAAAATAGTACTTTATTCAGAATCCATAACAGGGTAATAATGTTTCTCTAATCCATGCTCAAAAGCTGTTACTCTTGCCATGTAGAAAGAATAATTTCTTGGGTGATGAGCAAGTATCTGCTTGGAAAACTTTATTACAGTTTGTGCTATGAAAAGTGTAAATAGCTAAGATGTTCAGTTGCATTAAATAAGAATGAAATATTAATGTAATAACTAGATCACCAATAGAATTAGCTTAACCACATTTAATGATCACAGTAGTTTGTTCATTTATTTCTTACCATCTTGGTTTCATTTCTTTATTTCTAATAAAAATGGGAAAGGTTTGATCTGTCTGTGCATTAATTTTCATTTATTCTTCTCTATCACCAGTTTTGTCTGTGTATATTATTTCCATATCTGCTTCCTAGAATTCCCTCCTTTTTCTTTTTGTTTGATGTTAGTATATCAGTCAGAGCTCTTTTCCTTCTGTGAAGTTATTGGAGGTGGGGGAGAAAGTATTTCTTCTTATAGTAAGTGGAAATTGATAATTAATTCCAAACTTCATTTTTCCTTTTTTAACATATAGTCTTTTTTCATTTTTCCCTATCTACTTTAAAGGAAAATCAAAAATGCAAGGCACAAAAAAGGTGTTTTATAAATCATTTCTCCCAAATTTACAAATTTTTTTAAAATTATTCATTGTACACTAATGTACCTTTTAATAAAATTATTTGGGAGGACTTTAATTCAAGTATCATCATGATGAAGGTGTGACTGATGATAATAAATTTTTTTATCCAGTGTTAGACACAGTAGTGACCAATTTAATAACAAAATGCTGTAGTCTCTCAGTAGACATTATTATTCCCATTTGGTGGGTGAGGCTACTCAGATTTAGGGATCTATATTACATACAAAGTTAGTAGATAGTATGTATCAGAGCAGAATTTAGGGCTAGGCAGTGTGAATCCAAACAGCTTCTCTTTTGTACTGTTTTGCTATTCACTAGAGCCTAAGAGAGCAGAAGGAAGGTAATACCACCAGCCTGCATTTTTTCCACATAATTACTGTTCTTCATCCATGTTAGTGCCTGTTCTTTATTTGTGACTGCATTTGTGAAAATGGAAATGCACCAAACCATCTATTACAGCTACACCAGTGGCCTGTCTAGGAGAAGCAGACAGCTTTTGGGGTTTGAGCACTATGAGTGTTTGATCAGGGAGCCAAGCAAAACCAACATGAATGCTGGGGCCTCCCTGGTGGCGCAAAGGGTTAAGCACAGTACTGTGAAGCTGTCCACAGCCTTGGCAGCATGAGTTTGATCCCTGGTCAGGGAGGTGACCCACATGGCACAGCAGATCTCTCTGGCCTCTCCTGCTGCTCCCCTCAGCAGTATATTTCAGTAGATCAGCCTGTTCTGCTCTCCACTCTGTCTCTGGTGAATCCTCTCACCTCCTGCACCTCTGGCAGAATCCCAGTTCTTGTATGCATAAATAAATAAATCTTTAAAAAAAAATGACCAGTCCAACAGCATTAACTCTCACTAACCAGTCCAAGAAGGCATAGACTACAGGGAAAATGTAGAAAGCAGTGAGATAAAATTTCTGGTAGAACATGATTTGTGAAATCAAACCCAAGTTGAAAATGATGTGTTTTTCTTGTTTTATTAATGTCGGGGTGCTGTTATTATAAATTTGAGAAAAGGGGCCTCCCCGGTGGCGCAGCGGTTGAGCGCTGGGTTGCGAAGCTGCCGGCGACCTCTGCGGCGCAGCGGTTCGATCCCCGGCTGCTCCCCGGCCACCGGAGGAGGGTCCCACATGGCGCGCAGACCTCTCCTGCCGCCCGCTGCTCCCCTCAGCAGTGTACTTCAGTCCTTCTGCCTGCTCTGCTCCCCGCTCTGGCTCTGGTGAATTCTCTCGCCCTCCCGCGCTTCTGACTGTACCCAGTGCATGTATAAACAAACAAACAAACAAACAAATAAATAAATAAAAACATGCCTCTATAAATTTAAAAAAAAAAAAAAAGTGTTTAAAAAAAAAATAAATAAATAAATTTGAGAAAAGATTACAAAATGTCAAAAATTATTTTCAGGCAATCGAGACTCACTTGATCCGCAAGTCTAGTACAGGACTGACTTACATCGCAGAGTGGAAGGGGGGTCTTCTGGAACACAAGATGGGCCACCTGACGTGCTTTGCCGGAGGCATGTTTGCTCTTGGGGCAGATGACGCTCCCGCAGGCCTGACCCAACACTACCTTCAACTCGGGGCTGAAATTGCCCGCACCTGTCATGAATCTTACAATCGCACATGTGAGTACATGTTACTACTCATCATTTACAGCCTATTCCTATGTGCTCATATTTCCTTCATGAAGGAACTTTGTCATTGCTACCTTGAAAGAACAGTCACATGCCTGATGAAATGTGATGGGCATGATTAATGTCTTACAGGAACTTGTATGTTTAGTTTAAGAGACTGTTTCTCTACATAAAAATGTCTCCCTACCCTTAGTTTGCCAAGAAACAAAAATCCTGGCCATGTTGATGGTACTTTATTTAGGTAAATCACAGTGGGCAGGGGGCTTTGTTCCAGGGCATAGGAAATGTTATATTTTATAAGCCTTGACTCATTTTTCCCGGTATCCCCAAGAAATAGATTCAGTCTGGCTCACTTCTTATAAAATAGGAGTTTGAAGCACAAAAATTAAATTACACTTCTCATGATATAATGCCCTGGAACTCTCAACCACTGATTTTCCTACTAACTTGTAAGGCATTTCCTAGTTGCTTGCACCCACCTGGTGGTTAAACCAAAGAAAAATAAAAATTGCTGTTATTTTCTAAAATGGATTCTCTTACATAATAAAGTTTTAAGTCTGTTGAATGTTTTATTATTTGATTTTAAAACTATCCCTTAACATGATTGTTTTTGCATTTCTCTTGAGTGCCATAAAGTACTTCCTAGTTGCATGTAAGTTACAGACACTGAGTGTTGTCCATGTCAGTAACACTTGTCACCCGTTGCATGTTCGTCAGTGGTGAAACTGGGACCAGAAGCTTTCAGATTCGACGGTGGTGTTGAAGCCATTGCTACAAGGCAAAATGAAAAATACTACATTCTGCGACCAGAAGTGGTTGAGACTTACATGTACATGTGGCGACTGACACACGATCCAAAGTACAGGAAATGGGCCTGGGAAGCTGTTGAGGTGATGTTTCCATCTGTTTATTGTTCTAATAGATAAATGTCTGGAAAAAACGATGAGTGATACCTACAAACCTGGCATACCAACTTTTCTATGATTTTTAACACTTTGACCAGAATTTTTTCCATTCAAACTGTGTTTTCAATTAAACCACCTTTTATTCCTGCCTTTAACTTTGCTTTATGTTACAATGATATGCCTGCCTAGGAACTTTGATTTTGAAGGAGATCTCTAGAAAGGCATATTAGACGATTAAGTTCCCAGTGACTCTAGAAATGATCACTTAATTCCACCAAGGGTTACTGGCAACTTGGGGAGAGTCATCCCAGTCTGGTGTCTATTTCAGGGTACCACTATGTGGGCTTTTATATTAATCTTTGAGCACTGAATAGATACTTGCTTTTACTTAAAGTAAATTAGCTACTTCGATTAAAATTTTAGACAGAATAAAACAACTTGGACATGAATATTTCTTCACTGGGGTCAGGTTTCTCTGAATATCTGTAAGCTTTCCATCTGTCCAATGTATTACTTTGTCTTTGTCACCTCTTGGGTCTCTTCCTGCTGAATAGCTTCCCAAACTGACTTATTGAACAGTTTGTATGCTGGATACCAACAGTGGAGCCCTCCAGGATATGCATCAAACAATGTTTAATTTTAAAAGCTATTATTCTGAAAGGTGTAGGAGGGAATTTGGGGAAAAGAATAAGAAAATGCTTTAATAGCATTTGTACTCTCTAGCTAACTTAGGAAGTCAGCTATCTTTAAAAAACACCCATTAGGAATGACTTCTCTCAGCAAGGCTAAAATGAATACTGCCTTTGTATAAAATTGAACTCGTATCTTAGGAAACTGTTGATGAATTTTGCTTATTACTCTCTTCATGCATTGTCTGTCTTATTACTAGTGATCAGTCATTTTAAGTAATAGCAAATTGTTTTGTCTTAATAGTTTTGTTGGTTGGAATTCACATTTCTTTTAATTTCTAGATTTTCTCTGGAAAATATGTTAAAATTAAGGATCATCTGAGTTTTGGGTAGGGAATTATTTTGGTCTTCAGTAGCTCAGCAAGTAAATGAAGCTAATACCTTACAAATATCAGTTCCCACTGAAAATATCAGGAATAGTACTTTTCATCAAATCTAAAACACCATAATTTATAAGAAGCACCATTATTTTATCTGCCAGTAGGAAAGAACACCACCAATTAAATTATGACCTGCCAATTTTAGAGATGTTAGAATGTGAAAAATGTATAACAGGGAATTGACCAAAAATAGAAAGTAAGTAAATTTGTTGCCATGTGAGCAGGAGGCTTTGGTTTGCTTGACTCTTCAGAAACTTTGTAGGATAGTGAGGTAGGCTTTATGAGTTAGTGTTTTTATCTGTTGCCCACTCTTTAGTGTGTCATATGATAGAAATTGCTTCCCTGTGTCACAACACAGTGTCTTCGTTTTTGCCACTGATAACTTCTGCTGGAACTTGAGGTGGAGTGGGGAGATGGGAAGGGAAGTTTGGGGGTACAGGGAAGGGTCCCTTGCCTGTTTTAAAGCACAAAAATCATAGCAGGTGTGGTAGTGTCTAGTTGCTGTGTCCCATTATCTTATCACCACATATGCCCCATCACCCCCATGCCTCCCTCCCCCTATTCAGGGTGCTAGCATGTGGGCAGTGTCACTTCCAGCTCCCAGTGCCCCTCAGCTGTTGAGACTCAGAGCTGCTTCCCAGACAGGTGACTGTGGGGAGTTAACAGCTTCAGGGCAACCTTCACCCATAAGGTTTTGGAGCCATCCCTCGGGTTTTGGAACTGATGGACAGCTATCCCAAACTTCCCCTTCTTTGAAGAATAATTCTAAGTTGCATTCTACCCACCACCTCAGAGGGTTTCCAGCAGGAATGAGCCTCCATAGAGTACATATTCCACTTGCTCTTCCCTCTTCCCAGCTTACTCTCCCCACACGATCACCTCTGGTATCACCTCCCCAGTAAACTTTATTCATCTAACCCTTGTCTCAAGCTCTGTGTTAAAGGGAACCCAAACTAAAACATTGGGACTCTTAAAATTCATCTCGATCCACACTTCCACTTAATTTGTATCTTTGCCAGATGAGTAGTCCTCATCAATTCAAGAACTTTACAGCAAAGAGGAATATACTGCCTAATAGTATACTAATTATCCATTTTTTAATATCTGAAAGTTTCAGGAAGTTGTTCCTTTTGAAACCAGAATTTACTGTGTTCTGTGCACTGGGGGGCGCCGAGGGGAAAAAATTCCTTCTCTCTACTGTGTTTCCTCTGTTAGCTGAAGACGGAACATTCTGCCAGCTGTTCCCTCTTCATCTTCCATTTCCCTCTGCCTCTTCATGACATGGTTACTATTTGTGAGGTCTCTCAGGGCTGAGCACTATGACTTAAGCAACTCTCCTCTTAGTGTTGTTGCCCAGCCTGCACTCAAATTTGTTCTTTTAATAGATTTATACAACCCTGGCTAATGTTAACACCATGATACAGCAACATTAGCTAGTCTTGAGATAACTCATTTATTCCTTATTTACTTGTTTTCGCCCATACTTGCAGATTGCAAAGTATGTCAGCCACATTCCTGTCTTCTAAGAAAGCACACCTTTCTCAGTCTTCTTCATTGATACACATAATGAACCTGTTTTCTTTGTCTTAAGTAAGTTTTTTAATAACAGTGTTAAACAAGATATGAAAGTATATAATCCACCAGTGAAGACTGAGCCTGCCTTTACCATGGTCAGCAAGTCATAGGTGCTCACGCACCTGGGAATATAACTCAAAAGAAAAAAATACACCTGGTAATGCTTGCTTTGTCCTCAATAATGTCGTGAATGACTTGATTAAATTCCTCCCAATTGAACATGTATAATTAATTTTGGATAAAGCTCATACTGTAAGTTATGCATATTCATATGTAAGTAGTAAGTACAGATTATATATGATCTGTTAATGTAGACACATGTCAATTATGTAATCTTACAGCTGGCCCATGGTGGCAAGGAAGTCTTATAAAGGGACTTTTCTTCTTCCTTGTGTGTATACACAATTCTTCCTAGTCTTCCAAATCTAACATGGGATGTTGTGGTTCTCAGAGAATGATCTAAATTCCCATTTCCTGCTTCTATTTCCCAGCCTTGATCCTGATTTCTAGACTCTCTTTGATATGTCTGGTTTTGTGGTGTTAGGGATAGGGTGGAGGTTGGGAATTTTATTTTCTTATTTTATTGAGGTGACAATAACAACACAATATATATGATTCAGGTGTATAGGCTCACAGCTCTTAAGATGTATGTCACCATGCTACACCTACCACCAAGGCCTAGTTTTCTGTGTTCTGCCCTTGAGGTCAAACCAAACTTAGGCAGTCAGTCATTGCAACCCGGTTCCCTGGGATCCACTCTTACAAATCTCTGTAGATAACTGTCTACCTAACCTCGTAGATAAGAGAATACTTTTCTCAGAGTGATACTTTCTTCCTTAGACTTTAACTCATGCTAAAACCACACAATGCCAAGTGGAACCCAGGGACCCTGAACTGTTAAGAGAAAAATCCATTTTTCCTATTCTAAGGGCCTACCATCCATGTACACAAAGGCAAAGAAAACAGACTCTTGGTGTACTCAAAGATCTTTCATTGGTGTGAAAGTTCAAAGAGCATAGACAGAAAAAGAAAAGATTTCAAATAACAGAGTCCAAATCAAACTCTAAAAAGTACTCATCTCCTAATGGGCAAATGCCTAGCCACACAGTCTAGTCCAGGAATGGGGCAACTGAGGCCCAAAAGCGCCAGATCAAATCCGAGGCATCTACCAGCAGGAACCACACAAAAGGGGTTAGGAAGTCCCAGAGAGCTGGGATGGAGAGAGAGACCCAAAATTCAAAACGTACCCATATAATCCACAAAGTGACAATAACAACTGCCATTGTCTCTGTCAAAATCCTAAAGCCACCAGGATGAAGGATCAAAAGCAGCCTCTCCACCTGTCTCATTTCTAAGTGTCTCTCCTTCTTCCTTCACTGTACCTCTAATATGTATCAGCTTTGTTCCTTCTTGCCCAACTTCAGACAATCAGGAAAAACAGTTCATGGAATCCAGTGATTTGTAATCCAGGGCTGCTGGATGTAAGTGGGAGCAGGGAAAATGTCTCCTATTTCCTGGGAATGGAATAGGAATAGCACAGTTACAGAGATGTGTTTTGTAATGGTGCTGCTTGCTGTTCTCTTACCTTTCTGTCCCCCGCACAAGTATAATAACTTAGGGGTCAGACTTGTCTCTCCTTTTGTTTAGAGTCCAATCATTGTAAACATCTTCCTATCCTCTATTGGCACATCCCAGTTACACATGCCCCTAATACCAGCATTTATGTCAAATTGACGTGGTCCCCCTGCCTAGAGCCTGAGAGTCCCAAGAACATACTATCGTGAATTGATGTTCTGATCTGACTGCACTGCAGAGATACCTGTGTGCTTCCACCAGGATCTACAGTAAAGCTGAACCCTGTATCTGGGATACGAGAGGGCTGCCTGTCCCAGCTTCATGTTCCTAAATTCCAAAATTAGAGTACTGACATGAAGATTTTTCCTGACTGGAAATTTTAAAATGCCTCCTTCTACTTTATTTCTTCCTTTTCTTTTAATTTATCAAAAGCCTCAAAAAACAAACGTGGCCGTGCTTCTCCAGAACTCTGAAAGATCCCTGACACTGTGCTAAGCATGCCTTCATCTAGCTTTTTCTTACTATAGTCCCATGTTGAGAAAGGGAATGCTGCTTGGAGGCCAGAGTTAGGAAGACTAGAACTGGGATTTGCTCCTTCCCTGGACATTTATTTGTTTGTTTGTTTGTTTGTTTGTTTGTTTAATTTATGCATACAAGAACTGGGGTACAGGCCAGAGGTATAGGAGGTGAGAAGATTCACCAAAGACAGAGTGGGGAACAGAACAGGTAGAATGACTGAAATACACTGCTGAGGGGAGCAGCGGTGAGACAGGAGAGGTCTGCTGTATCATGTGGGTAGCTCCCTGGCTGGGGATCAAACTCATACTGCAGTAGCTGCGAATAGCTTTGTAGGTTGCGTCCTAACCCCTTGCACCACCAGGGAGGCCCTCCCCTGGACCTTTGGATTGCAATCTGGGCTATCATGGCTCATCACAATAGGGCTGTGGGAGAAAAAGAATGAGTGGGAATGAGCTATAAAGAGGGAAATTGATGGGACATTGTCTACCCTCAAACAACTCTTTTCCTATGACAAAAGACAGCACATAGAGAAATTTCTGTAGAAGGAAGGGCCAGCAATTTATCATGCTGATCCTCTCATTTGTTATCACCAAAGAATTTCAAGAGACAAACTAAGAAAAAGTTTTGTGGTTAAAATCTTTTTTAAGAACTGTCTGGAACTAGGATTCCATTATGTTTAGTAACAACAAACTTGCCCATTTCTTCTAAATCTGGATTTCTTTCTGTTTTCACCAAGAATTTTTTACTAACTCTATTTTGACTTTTTGTCAAAAAGTCTTTTTATCAGAAAAGGAAGAAAGGGGAAAAAAAAACAGAAGTTTAAAGTTCCTTCAGGCTTTCCTCCACTTGGTTCAAGTCTGAAACTTAGAGAATAACAGAAGCATTTTTTAATTGATTGTTCTTGTTTTCCCAGGAGCTTTTAAAAGTATCAAATTAGGAGATACTTACTTTATTCATGTAGCTGGCCAGTTAGAGTTTCTTTAACCTGATTGCTAAATGCTTCTCCCCATGGTCCCCTGCTCTCTCCCTTCTGCCCTCCAGTCTAGTGTGCAAAATCAATATCCTCATTATCAGTGTCTGCAGATGGAAGTGGGGCTCCCCACGCCATGCGTGGCCTGCTCCTGCTTCCTGCCTCCTGCCTCCCTACCCTCTTGTTGGGTCTATACACCTTAAAGCTCTGTTTTCCTCCAAAGCTCTTTTCTAGCAAATGAAAATTTTTCTCAACTGAATGACAAGGTCTGTATCTTCTTGGTAGTTGGGGAAAATAGAAGAGAAATGGGATATATTATACTTTTTTTTAAGATTTATTCATTTATGCATACAAGAGCTGGGGGACAGGCCAGAGATGCCAGGGGTGAGAGGACTCACCAGAGACAGAGTGGGGAACAGAATAGGCAGACTGACTGAAGTACATTGCTGAGGGGAGCAGAGAGCAAGACAGGAGAGGTCTGCTTCGCCATGTGGGTTGCTCCCTGGTGGACCAGGGATTGAACATATGCTGCAGGGGCTTTGGATTGCTTCATGGTGCAGTGCTTAACCCCTTGCACCACCAGGTAGGCCCATGGGATATAATTATACTTATAAAAAAAGAAGGGCAGGACCTCCCCGGTGGCACAGCAGTTGAGCGCTGCGCTCGAAGCTGCCCGCAGCCTCTGCAGTGCTGGTTCAATCCCCGGCTGCCAGCAAGGGTCCCACATGGCGCACAGACCTCTCCTGCCGTGCCTGCTGCTCCCCTCAGCAGTGTCCTCCATCTCTCTGCCTGTTCTGCTCCCCGCACTGGCTCTGGTGAATTCTCTCACCCTCCCATGCTTCTGACTGTACCCAGTGCTTGTGTAAATAAATAAATAAATCTTTAAATATGTATATATATTAGTTGAAAATAATTTTAAAAAAATAGAGGGGCAAGGTTCTGAGAAAAGTGAAAAATAAGTAAATGATCTGTAACTTTATCTTGTTAATATTTTCTATATTTTATTTTTTAAAGATTTATTTATTTATGCATACAAGAACTGGGGTACAGGCCAGAAGTGTGGGGGCTGAGAGGATTCACCAGAGACGGTAGGGAGCAGAACAGGCAGATTGACTGAAATAGACTGCTGAGGGGAGCAGCAAGCGAGTCAGGAGAGGTCTGCTGCACCATGTGGGTAGCTCCCTGGCTGGCTGGGGATCGAACTTGTGCTGCAGTACCTGCGGATAGCTTCATAGGTTGTGTCTTAACCACTTGTGCCACCAGGGAGACCCCCTGTTTTCTGTATTTTAAATATTAGAGTTTTGGTCTTAAAGTTTATCGTTTGGTCCACATTTTACAAATTAGGAACAAATTATGTGACTAATAGGATTAGTGGGATGTCAATGAGTAGAAAATAACTTTCCTAGGCAGGAATATGGCCAGTAACTAGGTAAGCGCTATAACTTACAAATACAAAGAGTAGTCGCTTAATGGCAGCTGACAAAGTGGAAGGCAAGTGTTTCAGGTTGTTACCTAAAGTTTCATTCCCACACTGCCCAGACCCATCTCTTCCAAATATTCATTTTAGTCAGCTAACTACTAGAGGAATGTAGTGTCATTTCTCTCTAGATAATAGCCAGTAGATTCATCCCATCTTCTTCCATCCCAGACTAAAGAAAAACAAACATGTTTTAGAAATATATGTTTTTCTATCTGCCTTCTATCTTCTTTTACCTGTCACCAATACCACTAATGAGTATATCACTATCAACTTGTAAGAAATAAGTAAGATACTCTGATTACAGTAGCAACTGTTTTGGTCCAGTACACTTTCTCAGGTAGTAGTTTATAATCACAATTGGTATTAACAATATCTCTAGAGTAGAGGTCAGTATACCTTTCCTGGAAGGATCATACCAACTATTCCACTCTGCCATTGTAGCAAAACAGTCACAGATGGTAGACACGATTTAGAATGTTGTCCATAGTTTGAACAACCCTACTCTTTGTCATAGAAGGAAATGGTAAAAATCAACTGACAAAAATTCCAAATTGAGATATATTATCCTTATGACCTTCAACTTTATTTGCATTTACATTTTCTGATTTTGTAAATTTTCACCTAAAATTTGTAATCCGTCACTTAATTTGAATCCCAGTTTTTTGAATTTGACAATATAACTGTAAAAATTAGTGACAAGCTGTTTACTGAAATGTGACTATTTTTTCCCTTCTTCTTTGTAATAATTTAGGCCCTGGAAAGTCACTGCAGAGTGAATGGAGGTTATTCAGGACTAAGGGATGTGTACCTCAAGCATGAGAGTTATGATGACGTACAGCAGAGTTTCTTCCTGGCAGAGACACTAAAGTAAGTAGTGACCGATTTAGCTCTTCTGCCCACTTTTCTACCAGGTTGTTTTCCTCTTGTTAAATTACTTGTGTGAGTTCTTTGCAGATTTTGAGGATTCTGTGATGTGCAAATGTTTTCTCCTATTCAGTAGGGTATCTTTGTTTTAATGATAGCTTTTTGTTGTTGTGCATAAGCTTTTTAGTTTGATGTAGTCCTATTTGTTCTTTCTTTTTGTTTTTGTTTTTTTTTTTTTTTTTGCTTTTGTTTCCATTACCATTATAGTCAAGTCCCAGAAGACATCACTGAAGTTAATGTCATGTAGTGTTTTGCCTGTTTTCTTCAATGTATTTTAGGGGTTCAAGTCTTACATCTAATTCTTTTATCCACTTTGCATTAATTTTTGTGTATAATGTGAGAGTGTTCTAGTTTCATTCTTTTGCATTTGACTGTCCAGTTTTCCCAACACCATTTGATAAATAGAATTTCCTTTCTCCATTGTATACTTTTGACTCCATTGTCTTGGTTTAACTGTCCATATAAATAGGTTTATTTCTGGTCTTTCAATTCTATTCCATAGGGCTGTGTATTTGTTTTCATTCCAATATCATACTACTTTGATTACTATTACTTTGTGTTATAATTTAGTGTGGGAGCCCAATACCTACATTCTTTTGTCTACATTTGCTTTGACTCTTGGGGATATTTTGTGCTTGCTCTATTTCCTTGAAGAATGCCATTGGAATCTTGACAAGGATTGCATTGAATCTGTATATTGATCTGTGTAAGATGCTCATTTTAACACAACTAAAACACTGTAAACCAAGGTCACAATTTTAACACACCTAAAACACTGTAAACCAATGATACCTTAGTAAAAATAATAATTTAATTTTAAAAAAAAGGATGAGGCTGGAGCATATGGGTAGATCTTCTATGCAGATTTCTTTATCATGAACACATTCAAACAATGTCAAGAATAACTTAAGAATGCCACTCTACCTGCAATAATTGCAATTGTGTTTTCAGTTATTTGAAGGATGCCCCTTATTAGTGGGGAGATACGTTATACATTCCAAGAACCCCCCAGTGGATGCCAAAACCTATGCATACTATGGTTTTTTTCCTATACATACATAACCTATGATAAAGTCTTAATTTATAAACTAGGTACATTAAGAGATTAACAATAATAACTAATAATAAAGAAGAACAGTTATAGCAATGTACTATAATAAAAGTTATGTGAACATTGCCTCTCTGTCCATCATTTTCTCAAAATCTATACTATATATTATTGTTAGGTCACAGGTCAACACAGGTAACTGAAACTAAGGAAAGAAAGACTACAAACAAGGAGAGAGATGATATATAAGTTTAAGACATGGGAATGCTTTGTATATGCTCATACACTAATATTAAAGCACAGAGTAGCTACTTCACTCATTAACTAGCATATCCCCTCACAGTTTTGCTGTTTCCATGGCTCACTGTAGAATGGAGATATTGATGTGGTTTTTGATTAATCTTTCTGGTTTCAATGCCTGATATGATTTCTCAGACCTCATGATCTTGTTTCTCTCTCCAGATATTTGTACTTAATATTTTCTGATGATGACCTTCTTCCACTGGAACATTGGATCTTCAATACCGAGGCACATCTTCTCCCTATTCTTCCTACAGATAAAAAGGAAGTTGAAATCAATGCAAAATAAAGACATTTTATATTTTATCCTGCTCCATTCCCTTCACTGCATACCTTAATAATTCCTTTTCTGGTATTCAGGCACATGATGAATTTTTATTAATAGTTCTGTGATTACTCTAAGTTCTAAAATTGTTTTGCAGTCATTTGTGTTCATTGTTATAGGCATAGATGGGACCTAAATTCCTTATCGTATCTTTATTATTGAGTCAGTAGACCACATGTTTTACCTTTTTTAAAATAAGCTATTGTCTCTGAAGTTCATGAAGGTGTAGTACCATTTTTATTACACTTAATACAATGGTATACCAATGACCTCTTAATTACAATTTTGATTTGACTGCAAAACTTTTTCCTCCTCTATGAGGAGATGATGTCTGCTTTAAGCTGTAATGTTTTGCCATGTTGCAAAAAGCCATAATAATAAATTAAATATTAAAAAAAGCTTTTCCTTTTCAATTTCATGTTAATCTGGTTTGTCTATCCACCAGAGACAGATCTTATAACTGTGACAGCCTCCTTATGCAGGTCTATCATTATTTGATAGAATATCTCCTAAAATACTTTATTCACATTGTAAATCAAATTAGAATGTCATCCCAAAAGGATAATCTCGTGTTGACCTCATTTCATTGGCACCACTGTGCATTTTTGTTGGTTAATTATGTTAGTGTTTCCTAATTTGTGAATTAGTTCTCAAATTTTACTTTATATGCCCTCTGTCATTTCTGGATCATGTACTGGTTAATTCTTCCATTCCCTACCACAAAGTGAGGTAGCTTTCAAGTTTTGCAGAGCTCTGCTATTACTGATTTATATTTTTTAAAGAGAAATAGTATGACTTTTAGTGTATTTGCTTTTGCTCTTAACTGAATATGTGAAGAAATTGGGTCTCTCTAAAGAAAGTGTGTATCATAGGACTTTTACTTTGCATTTCACCTTTTTTTTTTTCCTTGAGAAATAATATCTTTGCATTTGGGTCAGATTTTTCAGATTTGAAAGGCCTTTTTCAATTCTAGTAAATTAATCCATATCAATTTATGGAAGCAGGATTTAACTCTGAAAGCTTTGCTAATGTATCTATTCATGGTCAATTGAAGAAAAGCTAATAAACTTTTAGGCTAAATGAAAATATAGTATATTTTGTCTGGTTAAATTCAACATAGAGTTGCCAACTTACAAGCAATATTATGTTTCTTCATACTATTGTTTTGAAACTGTAAATGGGTTTCCCAACAATAGATTTGGTGACACTGCGTTTTCAGATTGACGCACATTATGTATTTCCATGAAAGGGCTATATGATGATGCAGATACAGAGATATAGAGACTATCACCTGCGTTTTCAACCAACACTGGTCAGCTTGATCAGAGTAACCCCTTGAATTAGGTTGAGGCATATGAAATTGCTGCATTTGTTCTTCCAAAGCTGTCCAATATCAGCAAATTTTTGTGGTTCAACCTAATACTATTTAATACACTTATTTTCTTAGCTCTCAATAGACTTACTAGTTTTAGCTGTTTCTTTTCAAGTATCTTAAAAGAGGTCTTTGTCTGAAAGGACCATCTTGTGGGCTTTTTTTTTTTTTTCATTTTTGTTCATTGGTATGTGTCAATGAATAAATCAATAAAATTAGTAAATACGCACCATTATTGCAATGTGTTTCTGTGACCCAGAATAATTTCTTTGATGCATATCTTCAGCTCACCTTATGAAATGAATAGATAGAAAAGTTCTTTTCCCCAGAACTTACAGACAAAATATAAAAGATTATTGCCAAAATTGGGCCATCTGTATTCAGATTATAATTTTTACATGAATGTCCTTAGACTAGCAATTTAAAATTATTTTCTTTGCTTTTCAATTTAAATTGAAACTGCACAAAGATGATATTTATTTCTACAACAGATAGGATATTAAATTCGGGTGTGTATACACTGCTTTCTAAATGTACCTTTGTGTCCTGGTGTGAACAGGCAAGATTGTATTGCATATTGCTCTGCCAGAGTGCAATAAAGGTTTTTCAATTCTGAACTTTTTTTTTTTTAACATAAGTCTCAAAACACCAAAAATGTATACCAGATAAGATTAATGTTATGGTGATGTAATTTAATTATAGTTTGTGTTAATTATTTTAAGCAACTAAAGCCCTTAGGTAGATACTGCCTTTTATTCATTTATAGCAAAACTGTGCAGTTAAGTTTACATGTATATTTACATCCTGAAAGGTGAAAAATTCAAGCAGCATTTAGTTTTGATTTTCTGCATATGTTTTGAATACACTTTGTGCAATTACTATTAAATATATAAGTTGCGTGGCAATTTACAGAACTCAGCGATGTTTTTCATTACTCATGTATTACCCGTTCTTTACATTGATTGTTTTTGATTTGTACATAACTCCATTATCACTTCCAACTTTATATAAATCCCTAATGTTATAGGAAACATAATAGATTGATGCATAATTTTTAAAAACTATATTTGTAAAATTTCTCTATTGTGAATAAAGCCTTTTAATATACCTCCTCATTTGTTATGTTTTTCTCCCTTTAAGTATGCTTTTATATATGTAGGGATGAGTACAAACAGTTGCAATGGAATATTGAATCCTAATAGTGATTCCATATCAGACCCAGAGAATTTTGACCAGGAAACTGAAAGTTGACATAAGTGGAGCCATTTTTAAAATGGAGCCAGGCAGCTATTACAGTGAAACTGCGTTACCTGTTTTGTTTGAACTGGGTCAAAGAACTTTGGATTGGGCCTAAAGCAGTTGCTTTAAGGAACTATCAAGCAAACAATTGCTTGAGCAATGATCCAAATCACAGAGACTGATGATCATGGATTTTTTTTTTGCCAGAGGATAGAATCAGTACCAATTATGAATAGCTATGATAGTTTAAGCTTTTTAACACTAATTTACTCTTTTCTTTAACCATTTACCTTTCCTTCCTCTTTTTCTCTATATAAGAAACCCCTGGCTTTTGTTCTTGGGGAGATGGAAAGTAGAACACTATTTGGGTTTTCTATGCAGATCTGTCACCTCAAATTGCAGTTCTTCTATGCCAGATAAATGCACTTTGCCTTTTTAATTGCAAGCTGAATTGTTAGATTGACAAAATATACCCCGTTAAAAATTTTTATTGCAAATGATTTCACATATACAGGCTTCGTTAATCAAAAATCTCTATTAGGAATCTAACATGTTCAACACCAGGGCATGTAAGGTAGAATCAGGGATTTGGTGTCAGAAGTAGCATAAAATAAAATATGATCCTTGTCCTTAAGTTTACAATCCAATCAAGGAGATCAGACACCCAACCTCTTAAACCCCAAACAAGACAAAATGGCATTTAATTCTGATAAATGACAAGTTAAATTATACCATAGAAGTTTAGGGGAGCTGGAGGTCACTTGAATTTGAGAGGTCAAAAATACCTAGTAGAAAAGTGAGAACTTACAGTACAGAAAAGCTTGCAGTGATTTTGAAAAAGTCTAGGGTTTTCAAATTCATGTTGTACTTTTTAGAATATTTCAGAGTTTGATTGCTGTTCTCTTTGCCTAGAAATACCGTTTCTGGTACCTTTATGGTTCATTCCCTACTTTATTAAGGTTCAGTTGTCACCTTATCAGAATGGCTTCCATGACAAACCAATTTAAAATTCCCCATCATTCTTTGTCCCTTAATCTTTTATTTTCTACTTAGCATTTGTTAGATTACACCTTTATCTCCTTGTTGTTGTTTTTTTTTTCAAGATTTATTTATTTTTATACAAAAGCTGGGGTACAGGCCAGAGGCGAGGGAGGGTGAGAGGATTCACTAGAGATAGAGCGGGGAGCAGAACAGGCAGATGACCGAAATGCACTGCTGAGGGGAGCAGCGGGCAAGACAGGAGAGGTCTGCGCGCCAAGTGGGATTCTCTCTGGCCGGCTGGGTTCGAACTGGCACTGCTGAGGCTGCGGACAGCTTCACAGCAGTGTGCTCAACCACCTGCACTACCAAGGGAAGCCCTCCTTGTTTTTCAATGTTTGTCTAATACCTTAAAATTTAAGCCCCATGAGAAAGTCACTTTATTTGGCCTCCCCACCTCTCATCTCCAGTGCTGAGATGAGATGGCATCCTGCACTTGGTGAATAGGCGAATGACCTTTCTGTGGCTACTTGCAAATGTCTTCAAATAAAGAGTAATTTATTTTCAAAATGTTAATTACTGGTATTACATAACATGCTACTGTTACATATAAATAATCATAAGAATGGGTGATATAATTATTGTCACTTGTATAGTTGTAAGAAAATAGAGTAAATTTGTGTTTGGAATCAATTTTCAACCAACAAAAATTTTGAACCACTTTTAAAGTGGTTCAAAGTACCATATAAAAATACCCAAGAAATATAAGTCATGTTTTCTCTAATATAGTTTTTTTAGTAGCCTATTTGAATAATCTAGTATCATTTTCTATGATTTAATCTCATGGGTCCGTGCTCAATGATTTCAACAGCATCAGGCAAAGGAATTGTTTTTTCACTCAACACAGAGCTAGTCAAATGGGAACCTTCTGAATTCAATTATTTGTAACACAAGTGGTATTGGCTACATTACTCTGTTTATGACAGAATTATTAAAAATGATTCTAAGCATAATTTTTATTTATACTAATTAACCATCCTCACAGAGATGACAGTTTGGCAATCAATATATCTCATTTCTGATAATTATATGTAGGCAATTGCTTAAATTTTTAAGTAAAGTTAACAGGATAAATTTGTTTTCATTGAGGAATAGAGTTCATATATCTAATTGCCATTCCAGCTCCCTAGGTTATGGCTAAAATGTGAGTATAGGGAGGGAATCTTAACCTTTTTAACTAATTTAATGATCCAAAGACTGATTTCTGTTTTTTCCTGGTTCATTCCATCTACACTGGCCAACACATGAGTCATAATCTTAAAGACATATTTGCCAGGCATCAGATATGCATATAAAGTATAAGAGTTACAAGGAGGCTAGTCAGCATTTAGTCCAAATCATTTTAAATATTTGAAAACTGGGGCATTTTCCCAAGGTCAGGAATTGTTTTCTACCCTTGCTGTATGTGGCCAGGCTTGGGGATTTGCTAAAAATTGTGCTGAAAAAAAAAAAAAAAAAAAAAAAAAAGACACTAGATGAGAGCATACCTTGCAGTCAACCAGCCACTGCAAAATAACCAAGTTCAGAGTTCACCCTTGGAAATCGGTCTAGACTGTTTATGAAGGTGTGCACTACATCTCATCTATTTCTGAATCTCTTGTGAGTCTTGTTAAAATGCAGTTTCCAGAGTGTTGGCCTAAATTTAGCAAGTCACAAGTGTGGTGGGGCCCTGGAATATCCATGTAACACTAGCTCTTATTATTACTCCTCTTAGTACTACAATTGGAACCACGATTTTAAATTATAGATAGGTGAAATTCCCAAGACTAGCAGAGGAAATAATGATTTAACTGGCAAGTTATAACAAGCATATGTACCTTTTCTGTGTTTTAGTTTCTACTTCAAGTTTTAAGCACAACAACGTGAAACATAATTTGGATCACTTTGCAACATAGAGCTATTCTTTCACAGAAAGTTTTCTGAGCAATAAACCATATGCCTAAATCTTTTAGAAATGGATTCACATTGGATTTTTAAACTTATTCTTTCTTATGAGGGACTCTCAAAAAGTATTAACTTCAATTACCTCTGTTTTTTATTCAGTGACTGTTCTTTTGCTTTCTTTTCCAAATAGCTGCTTTTAAAGTCAGTTCTTAAATTATTTCTTCTGTTCTTGTTGAATTTTAACATGACTGTCACTTACACAGACTGCATAGAGTTCCTAGTTCAGCCATGTGTCATATAAATACAAGATATTCTTGGAAATGACCCCTGAAGAGCACCTTCATTTCCGTCCCCATCCCTGATGTTTTTACATTCCTTGCAATGCTAATCACCGAAGATTTGTCAGCTTGCCATTATTATGATCACTTTAATCCCCTTAAAACATGCCATTCCTTACTGAATAAATTAATGTAAATTTGTGTTACAAATCCATTTAATTCCCTAGTGAATGCAAATTACCATGAAACCTTAGAAAACAGTGATAGATGTAAAACTTGAAAAAAAACTTTTTCTCACACTGGGATATTTTGCCTTAAGCTATGAGCACATATTAATACATAAGTTTGTAAGCAGGCCCATAAAGTGTACTGTTTTTCAAATTGCATTTTCCAAAATGACTGACACCTGAGAGATTTTGATTTTCGTTTGGGTTTGTTTTCTCATTCTCTTAGGAGAAACAAGTGAATGAGCTTCATTCACAGAATCTTTGGGAACTTTTCCTGACTCTCCAACTCTTTTGGAGTTAGTTCTTTTTGGGAAGTGGAAACACGTGGCTTAGAAACAGGATGGGAGGCCACCACACCGTCTGAAGGCAGGTCCAGTGCTACAGTTCCCATTTCATGCACATGACCACTTTGTTGTGACTTAAAGCCTCTGTCTACTAAGTGACAGAAAGAGAACAAACTCTTCTTTTTTTGTGAAAAATCTTACTGTTAGGGGAAAGGAACAAACTCCACACAGGTTTTGTGGACTCTACCCCCACTCCAGACCAAAGCCATCAAGACTACAAATCCCATCATCACTGAAGGGAGGGTTGCTGGGACCTGAGGGTGGAGTTAAGCAGCCAGGCTTGGTATAAAACCAGACATGTGGGCCTTGGGGCTTTCTCTTGGCCTCACAACTCCTGGCTTTTCGCCAGCTCTCAGTGTGCCATTGGGATTCCAGGTCAGTGGAACTGGTAGAACGCATTCACGAATTTATTTCCCTCTTTTTCTCCCGGAGTTATTTATTTCTTCATTTCCCCTGGTTTGTAAATCGGCCCCGAGATATGCACACACCTTTTTGTGTGTGCCTGCAGTTGAGTATTAATAAGTCCCTTTTAAGTGCACAGGTGAGGACCCACAGTCAGGCAACCCATTTCATATAGGGGTTGCCCTGCAACAGTACCACCATTCTGCCATGCAATACAATGCTTCAACCTCATGAGTTAAATAACCCTAATATATTTCTCTGGTATTCACACAACTCTTCTATCTTGCTGTTGCCAAATTAATAACCTTGTGACTTACATAGTCTTCTAGGAGCTGCAAAATTATATACAGTTGAACAGCTCCATTATAATAAATTAAACCCCTCTAGTCTCTTTTCCTTCTATGATGCAGTCCAGAAGGGTTGATGCTGTTGGGCTAGTGGGAAGTTGACTTCACTAAGAATCAAGGCAACTGTGTTCTAAACTTAGCTCTGTTATTAACTTCTGTGCAATTTGGAACAAGCACTCCAAGTATTCCTATCTCAATTTTCACATGTATAAAATGAGCCTAGGGGTTGAAGCAAGCTTATGACTTGAATGATGACAACTCCCACTTTTTTTAAGAATGAGGTTTTCTTTTAGCATATATAGAAGAAAAGGAGGTCAACCTGCTTAATTGTTGTATTAGTGTGTGACCAAGGCCCCAAGGGCCCAAACTG